TTGAATGATTCAAAAAACATTCGATTCCCACTGATGGGGAGACGTGCTGATTAGTTTTTGGCAAAGACATGTATTTAAATAGATTTTAATTCTTTCCACTCGCGAATTCCGAGATTATATGCATTTTGCCGCCGGAGTGGCGGCATCCGAGTGGAAGAGTTAATAATAACATATTTTGTTACAATACCAATATTTTCAATTTTTGAAGTTCACATATAGGGGTTCAAATAAGTTACAAAATCTTCAGATTTTTTTTCAAAATTTTCAAAATAAATTCATTCAACATTTCTTTTTAATTAAACATTTTCAAGTGTTTTGAGTGATAAGATTGTCGCTGTACATTATATGAACGAATAATATATATCAATTATAATTTTCCTCTTTGAAACTATTTTAAACAATTGTTATTATCATTGATAAATATTTATTGATATTGACTTATTGATATTATTTTTTTTGCTCATATTATTGTATTCCGGAAAGTAACCCGTAATTTGCCTTAAGGCACGATGCCGTAGACCACTAGTTCACATCAATTTTTATAAGCAATTTTTAAAGCAGAGCATGTAGGGGAGCTAGGGGTTATCTGTAAAGGATTTTAAACGGTATTTTTTACACCGCTCTGAATGGTATTGGCATAGCTACTGCCCACAGGCCAACGCAATCAACAAAACTGTGCAGGCCCGTCATTTTTGACAGGTATAAAAAATTAATCTACCATAAAAATTTCGGTTTGCGTTGTTATTATCAACTAATTTTAAATTTATATATCTTATTTCATCAATCCTTGAACGTTTCAAATATATTAGTAAATACTAACGCTATATTTTTTATACTTTTGAGTAAATACTAAAGTAAAATTGCATTAGAAAGTAATCACTTTATTAATACCTGAATGAGAAGTAATGAAAATTGAACTCTGTATGTGCAACTTCTAATAAATTCTCTCTAATTGAATCGCAGAAAATCGAAATTGAAAATGTGAACATTTTACGTATATTAAAAAATTTGTACGTAATGTATATGTGTGTGTGAGGTTACACATTTTTAACTTCCCGTAGGGCAAGTTATAGTAATCGCAAAAAAATCGAAAATGAAAATTTTTATATATCTTTACGTTTCAAAAGGTTTCTGAACATTTTGGCATACCTTAGAAAAAATGGATGTATGTGTGTGTGTGTGTATGTGTGTGCGTATGTTGTGGTGTATGTATGTACGTGTGTGTATGTATGTGCGGATACAAATTTTCGTCGACGATTTCGGGAACACGGATCAACCGATTTGAATAATTCAAAAAACATTCGATTCGTATTGATAAGGAGACGTGCTGATTAGTTTTGGCGAAGGCAGGTCTAAGCCGTTCCGAAGATACGGGGCAAAAAGTGCTGATAACGGTAACTCAGTTTTTAAGAGAACGGAGCGTCCGATTTCAATAATTCAAAAAACATTTCACTTGTATTAACAAGATGAAGAATCGATAAAATTTTCATGAAGTAGGTCTAGCAGTTTCGGAGATATGGAGGAAAAAGTAAAAAAAATGAGCCATTTGGCGGTCAAAAATGATCATTAGACATATGCACATCAAATTATCAGATATTTTATAGAGATTTTAACAATAAGTATACATTTTGTTAACATTCCTATGGGTTCCGTACCAATGCTTATGCGTTAGACAGCGACGCGGCGCTTACGCGCTTTATATTTTGTCCCTATGCAGTTAAAGCAGTACGATTGCTTAAAAAAAAAGTTCAGATCTTCCACAATATGTCAAAATAAAGAAAATTTTTTTTTCAAAAAAAAAAAACAAAAAAAAAAAAATTAAAAAAAAAAAATAAAAAAAAAGTAATTTTTTGTCCAATTTATAGTTTCTCAAAAATCTTATTTTTTTAAAGTAATTTTTTTTTCAAAAATGTTAATAGTTTTTAAAAAAATAATAATTTTTGGTACGGGAAGTTCCAGCAATTTGCCTTAAGGCACGATGTCTTAATTGCCTTAAGACAGAATTCCACTTACAGCTAGTTGTCGATGATTTCGTAAACACAGATCAGCCGATTTGAACAATTCAAAAAACATTCGATTCGTTTTGACGGGTAGTCGTGTTGATTCGCTTCAAAAAAATTCATTTGTATTGACGAAATGCAGAAATGGGTGAAACTTTTGGGAAGGCAAGACTAGCGGTTTCGGAAATTCAATAACAAGTAAAAAAAATGCCATTTGGCGGTCAAAATGATCATCAGTCATATGCACATCAAATTATCAGATATTTTAGGGATTAGAAAGAAATATTTTAATGTTTTAATGTTAGACTGCAACGAGGCGCTTACGCGCTTCGATATTTCGTCTCCAAAACAAATGCGCAACTTTGCTTTGAAAAATATCAAGTTTTTCAAAAAAGTCCCAAAAATTTAACCTTTTTCAAGTTTTTGAAAAATTTTAAGGCTTTCAAGAATTTTGAATTACGATACGCTATGCACCATTAGTAATCTATTATGACTGATATATTTACTGATACTCTACGAAAATGGACTTTCCTAAGGCCAACTAAAACTTAGCCAGTAATATAGGCTTACTAACAATTATCCAATATATTTCCATTTCTAGAATCGCGTGCGGCCAGTTTCTACGCCGTGATTTTTTCATGTTCCATTAAATGGTCGTGTGCGGTGAGGTTATTCCTTTGCTACAGAGAGCAAAAAAGCGGACCTTTTGCCTTTTGCTCGACACAGAATAGGTAATTCATAGATAAGAGTCGATTGTGTGCGCGCCCTGTACGAAACTCGAACGGTATAAGAATAAGACCGAATAAATATGGAGCAACTACAACCCCTATAGGTTTGTCACTTGTTGAGGGAAATGTCGATCAAAGGTCGATATATTGATACGTGGAGCAAAATTATGGCAACATACAACAGCAAGAGAACGACAATGTACAAAGACAGCTAGACATGTACTGAAACACTTGAAAAGCTCGGAATGATATATTTGAGAATGTACGACAAACTAGCTGTAAGTGGAATTCTGTCTTTAGGCAATTAGGGCATCGTGCCTTAAGGCAAATTGCTGGAACTTCCCGTACAAAAATTATTATTTTTTTAAAAACCATTAACATTTTTGAAAAAATTTTACTTCAAAAAAAATATATTTTTGAGAAACTATAAATTTGACAAAAAATTACTTTTTCTGGAAAAAAAAAAATTTATTTGAAAAAAAAAATTTTTTTTGAAAACAAAAAAATTTTTTGAAAAAAAAAATGTTTTCTTTATTTTGACATATTTTGGAAATTCTGAACTTTTTTTCAAAGCAATCGCACTGCTTGAACTGCATAGAGACGAAATGTCAAAGCTCGCAAGTGCCGCGCCGCCGTCTAATGCATAAGCATTGGTACGGAACCCATAGAAATGTAAACAAATTTATACTTATTGTTAAAATCTCTATAAAATATCTGATAATTTGATGTGCATATGTCTAATGATCATAATTTTAACCGCCGAATGGCATTTTTTTTTACTTTTTTCATTAGATCTCCGAAACCGCTAGACCTGCCTTCATAATATTTGATCAATCTACAACTTGTCAATACAAGTAAAATGTTTTTTGAATTATTCAAATCGGACGCGCCGTTCTCTTAAAAACGGAGGTACCGTTTTTGGCACTTTTTGCCCCGTATCTTCGGAACGGCTGGACCTGCCTTCGCCAAAAACTAATCAGCACGTCTCCTTATCAATACGAATCGAATGTTTTTTGAATTTTTAAATCGGTTGATCCGTGTTCCCGAAATCGTCGACGAAAATTTGTATCCGCACATACATACACACACGTACATACACACACGTACATACACACACGTACATACACACACACACACACACACACACATACATCCATTTTTTCTAAGCTATGCCAAAATGTTCAGAAACCTCTGAAACGTAAAGATATATAAAAATTTTCATTTTCGATTTTTTTGCGATTACTATAACTTACCCTACGGGAAGTTAATAATAAAAATAAGCGGTATAATAAGCGAATATTTTACCAAATATATGTTGAATAAATTAAAAACCAATTGAGTATAAATTTTTCAGCGTAGATATTTTCTAGAACATATGACTACTACCTCCAAATTTGTCACTTGTTGAAGGATATGTCAAACAAAGGTTGATATATTGCTTCATAGATCAAAATTTATAGCAGCAGAGTATATATTGACTCAATTCGTCATTGGCATTGTTATTTTATGTAGTTTTCGTATATTTTTTTATTTTACATTTTTTATGCTTCGTTTTTCATCAGTATGCTATTAATTATAGTATTGTAATAACTGATTATAGCTTTGATTGAACCTATTGTTATACATAGCAGTTTTTAAGTCATTTGACTTTGACTTTGGTAACTAATAGCTTGATAATTGAATAAGTGTCTGGAAAATTTTCAATATCTTATACATGTGTATTGATAAACTGACACCTCGTTAACTCGAATATATGTGTGACTATATTTTTATGTATGTGTGTGTATGACCACAAATGGACATATCGTCAAAGATTTCTCCAAAACGGGTGTATTGATTTCAAAAACTTAAGCTATTTCATGAAACCCGATTGATGGTCGCGTTGATTGGTTTTTTCTCTACGATCGGACGAGTCAATTCTTTATAATTAGCAGAGCAGCGCAATATTATTCTTTAACTGAATTTAACATATCATTTTGGAAATGTTGCTGATGAGTTTTGTTACCGGGGCGCTTCATCATATATAGCTATTGCAAAAAAAAAGATTTATTTAAAATTTTTCCTAGTTGTAGAGTTCAGTGTCCAAAAAAATAGAAATAAAAGGCTTACGAAAAGTGATTTATTTATAAAAGTATATTAGTCTTCTTATCGTACTATCGAATATGTTCCAAGCACACTTTCGTGCTCTATAATTAAGACAATTGCAGATATTATAAGTTAGTTTGTAAGATATTAAATGAAAATTGCTTTGATTAGTTTATGAAAAGCAAAATATTATTTTCGAAACAAACACGCGGAAATGTGTTAATTTGTAATTAATAATTCCCAACTTTAAAAAATATATTACGAAATAATTGTTTACAGAAATATATATTACAGCATGTATTTTTTTGTTCTGGTCGGATTTCAAAGTTACTTTAATCCCGCGTTTCTTCGCGCTCAATCTTGACGTCATACCTATCCGCAGGTGATCGGAAACACGTTGTACTTAATTGTATGTGAACTGAATATATGGGTGTTGTAGATATGGTGTTTATAATCTTTCGGTGCGAATGGTAACTCGCTGTGACCCACAGTTTTGGCGTACTGGTTTATAATTTAGCCGGTGAAAGACTGGTGGTCAGAGCTAATTTTTGTGTCCGCGATGAGCCGAGGTCTGGACATAATATTGACGTATGTCGACGAAAGTCCTAGTCAGGGCTAGAAAATGTGATAGCCTGAGGACTGGGCGTACTGGATAAGTGAGCCAACGGAAGACCAGAGTCAGTAAAAAAAAACTAGTACATACCATAAATTTCGTGGCCACAATGACCCATTCATTTGAAATTTTGTAGTTGTTGATTCTCCAACTGTCGCACAACTGTTCATATATTTTTTAATTCTCGACCCGCGCTTGTTTGCAATCTTCAATCACACGTCGGGATCATCAATGTGAAAATGTGTTAATTTATAATTAATAATTTCCAACTTTATAAAAATATATTACAAAATATTTGTTTACCAAAATATATATTATGACATGTCATTCTCATTTGTTCTGGTTGGATTTCAAGGCTATATTAATCCCACAAAATTCACAAAAAATTATCATCACAATTTAAAAAACGGCTAATTTCTAATTCCTATTGATTATGTCAATTATTTACACATATCGGAAAGATTATGCAACTTTTCTTAAGCTTCTATGGGCCGAAATTTGAAACCGAAATTTTAAAATAGAGAAACAAAGATTTGGAGTAGAATACACTTTACACCTAATGAGAAAATTATTTGCATCCTATTGCAATGCATGTAGATTTTACAACATAGCTAAATGTGTAGACAACAAGAGGTAAATACATAACGCAGAGGAGCATGAAAATTCTTTACTTTGTCCTCCCAGAGTTTATATAGTATTTATCCGTCGGCGGCGGACGGTGCGCTCGGTATAAATAATTCGGCAGTCTTGCGAACAACTGACCTGCGGTAAACCTTGTCCCCGCGAATTCGGCAACATAGAAACGACGGTTAACCGAAATTCCCGTATAAGAATAGGCCGCGAGTGTGTTTGTGTATTTTGCAAATGCTTTTGATGCTAGCCGACTCCTCTCCTTTGTTACGATGCCGAATTTACCTTTTCTGCTACATAACTAATGTATAATTGGACCGTTCGACGTTATTAAATAAACACTGCAAAATTTACCTCAAAACTGAGAGGTGAAAACATGTGGTGAATCAGATTACTATGTATACTATATATGTATAAGATATCAGGTAGAGCGGGGCTTAAAGGTTTACACCGATATCTCAAAAAGAAGTAAAGTTAAGAATTTTTTAACAACAATATTTGTAGTGATAGTCCAGTCAGTATAGTAAGTTCACCTCGGAATTCGAGATACCTAGCTGTATGTCTGTAAATACTTGTATATTGACGCCTAAAAGTTGTCTCAAAACCTAAATATGTTGCGTACACTCTACAATATGTAGGTTTTAAGACAACTAAGGTGTCAATATACAAGTATTCACAGACTTGCAGCTACGTATCTCGAGTTCCGAAATTCTTACCTAATTTAAGCTTTAATGACTGGACTATGATGAGAAAAATGGTGTAAGGGGAAGTCCCGTAACGCCGGACGGCACTTAAATCCGGACACTCTATTTAACACGTATTATTGAAGCGAGTACAAATCTTTTTATTTCAAAATACAAGTGAAAGGAGCGCGGTAGGCACACAGGTGCAGGATAAAAGGGTGGATAATTAGTGATTTTTTTTTGAATCTAAGATTTGATCTAAGAATATTCGTCAAACACAAATGTGCAGACATTCCAGAGATGGCTACATATGTGTTCAATGCTTGTTATTTTGAAATGTCCGGTACTAGGTACCACTTTGTAAAATCATATTTTTTGTCACCAAAGTTTGATTGATAGTATTAATTATTGTTTAGCAAAGATTGCGTTTTTGTTAATTTAGTTTGATTTCTAACTTTGTTATCTAACATAAGTCATGATTCAATAAACATTTCGTAAAATATTTTTTAACTTCCCGTAGGGCAAGTTATAGTAATCGCAAAAAAATCGAAAATGAAAATTTTTATATATCTTTACGTTTCAGAGGTTTCTGAACATTTTGGCATACCTTAGAAAAAATGGATGTATGTGTGGTGTGTGTTTTTTTTTTTTTTTTTTTTTTTTTTTTTTTTTTTTTTTTTTTTTTTTTTTTTTTTTTTTTTTTTTTTATAGAGGTGCAAAAAAAAATCTTCATAAGACACCGCCATCGTGATCACTCCACTGTCCATCCTACAGCGGACAGTAGTGTGGAGATTTTTACCCA